AAAACTAGTCAAGCGCGAATGACCATTGCACTGAAAGTACTGTAGGTACATTGGCTTGGTAGTAACTTTACGCTATACATTTTAGAATCTTATAAACTTATAATAATATAGTTTTCACCATTTTTAGTTATTACACACACACACACACACACACATACATACATACATACATATATATATATATATATATATATATATATATATACAACGGTTTAGTAAGCTGAATTGGCCCTTTGCCAATTCAGCTTACTAATCCGTTGGGCTATGTCGGTCACTCTATTTATACTGCGGATATCCTCATTTCTAATCCATTGTCTATGTCTATCACGCAGAGAAACCCGAAGTCATTTATATCTAAACAAATAAATAAAATTGAAATGTCTGTTTGTAATGTCGAAATAACAGATTTTTAATATATGCATATGAAAGTATATACGGTACTTATAAAAAAAAACACGATTTTTAATTCGTCTGTCTGTTTGTTCCGGCTAATCTCCGAAACGGCTGGACCGATATTGACCGGATTTTCACTGGCAGATCGCTGATGTTATAAGAAGTAACATAGGCTACTTTTATTTCAGAAAAAGAATTAGGGTTCCGCACAAGAATATTAAAACTCCAAATATGTTATTATACACACACACACACACACACACACACACACACATACACACACACGCGCGCGCACATACATACATACATACATACATACATATATATATATATAAAAATATAAATGAATGGTCATTTTTAGGACAAGTTTTGTATAAATATAAGATGGATAGTTAGGTAAGTATGTAGGTAGGTAGGTAGGATAGGTAGGTAGGTACGTACGTAGGTAAGTAGGATAGGTAGGTTGGGTAGGGTACGTAGGTAGGGCAGGTTAGGTAGATAGGTATGAATGAAATGAAATGAATAATTATTGTTCCGTACCTCAAAAGGAAAAACCGGAACTCTTATAGGATCACTTTGTTGTCCGTCTGTCTGTCTGTCTGTCAAGACCCTTTTTCTCAGGAACGCGTGGAGGTATCAAGCTGAAATTCATATGAAATGCTGAAATTCATATGTCTATTGTCCCTTGAAGCTGTGAAAAAATCAAACTTCTAAGCCAACGCTATCAAAAGATACAGCCGTTTATGCCGCAAATTTTTGACATTCGCTAGAGAATCAAAACCTACAGGGTACTTCCCGTGAACTCAGAATCTTTAAATTTGTTACGAAGCAACGTAGTATAGCACAGATAAAGGAAAAATTGCGAAAAGCATAAATTTTTAGTTGCATCATATAATAAAAATATTTTTAATAATTTTAAACTTATATACCTACGGATTTGTTTGGAACGCTCGGAGCGCGAGTCCGATTCGTACTTGGCCGGTTTTTTTTATCAATATAGATTACTGTATAATACTGAAAGTCATTTTTTAATTTACCACCGGTTCGCATAAAATAAAACCTCTGTCCTGGGAAGAACCAGCAAGAAACCCAGCGGGACTTTTTTTAAACATATTTAAATTTACAATAAATTTATTATGTTACAAGTTTTGAATGAATTTTTATAGAACCAGCATGGTAGCGATCACCTCATTCCCAGGGGTTATTTCCATTTATATATTCATTTATATTATAATCACCCTTTTTGTACAATTTTTCTTTAATAAAACATTTAAACTTGTTTACAATCCGGAACAATTATTTGTGGGCCATACAAATACTTGTTTCGTGCGGGATTCAAACCCACGGACTCCAGCGTAGCAACTCATTGCTAAGCCTGTGCACCACGGAGTAACGATAACTTAAGGACATATAAGTAAGTTACAGTTTTATTTCTTTATAGTTAGATAGGTCGGTACTTGGTACTTACCGACCACACTTATATTTTTATTACTGACTAAGTGCTTGGCTTCTGGACTTCGGGTCGCGGGTTCGATCCCCATACGGAACAAATATATTTATGGCCTACAGATAAATGTGAAAATTTGTGTTTGTAATCGCACCGTCTCCGATTCAGGAGAAATCCTGGAGTGTGGCAACGTTATAAAAAAACTATTACTACATAGATACCTATATTTTGTTGTATATTGACCAAACGTGTCATATGCTAAATTTCTACATATTCGTAATCACTAATACTGTAAGTAGATAGGTCGGTAGATATTTCATTACGTTTATTATATGTTTGTCCGTTTCTTTACGCCAACCCAGTCGCTTCTATTTTTATTTCGCCTATTTCCCATTGCGCCAACACTATAAACCTTAGTATCTATTTCAATATTTTAATTTTACGTCATCCTGTTACGTAATGTGTGTTCTGAGCGCAAGCGACACAGCTCTCCCGTTCGAAAGCCGAAGCGAGAGTGAGCGGCGGTGTCGGGCGACAGGGAACAAGCTTTAAAACGACGATAGTTTAGGTAATTTCTTTTTACTTATTTACTTCTTTTCTTTTCTTTTTACTATTTCTTTTTGATAATTAAAAAAAAGTAAAAAAGATAAGCACTGCTTTATAGTTATTTCAGTTATTATGCAAAGTTTCATGATCTAATTTAAAGTATTTTTTGAATACCAGCGGTTTCTTGTTCAGTTTGGAGGTAACTTTGGATTTTTTTTTTCAATCGAGAAAATTTTATGGAATCATGTTTTCGTCTAAGATAGTACTTAACATTAATCCTCAACTTCACCATATATTTATTTCAAAATTAATGTTGTAGTATTTTCGGCATAACGGAGGATCATGCTAAACCAATTGAGGTAGTATAGGCCCTTAATATTGCATTTTATGAATTTTTAATAATGGTGCAATTATATGCAAGAAGGGTGTAGTTTTTTTTATAATGCAAAAGGTACCCAATTCTAATTATTCGAAGTTATATCGATCCTATAAGCTGAGCAATGTTTACCTATTTTTTATTTATAAACTGTATGGGTGCAATTTAAATAATAAATATTTTTGAGATGTGCTACTTAAAATATGTCTGTTAGTATTTTTTTATTTTATATGTACTCCAAATTCATGTAACAAGTGTTTCGATGGTGATATAAATCTTAGGTTTTTATCTATTTAGGCGCCTTGAGATATAATCATCATCAATTGTCCGCTGGATTGAGTTGTCGTCGAAACTTCCCAAAAACTTCGCTTTGTGATTCATCAGTAAACTCTGAAGAGTTTTACTTAGGCTGGACTGTATGGTCTAAGACTTTTGCTAGCCTTAATTGGGAAATTTTTCAACAACTACAATCACTTGTCCATATATATTACAAAGTAACCAAAAAACACAAAGGAGACTCACAGTATAAAATAGAATAAATGTTAAATGAACATGGACATGAGTTTCTCCGTTTACCACCTTACCACTGCGATTTAAATACCATCGAAAAATTTTGGGCAATAGTAAAGAGGCGCATTGCAGAGAAAAATGCACCTCAAGCTCCTAGTGAAATAGCTGCTATTACTGAGGCGGTGTTTAGAACAATGACGATAGAAGAATGGCTGAATGTGTCTACATGTAGAAAAAATAGAAGATAAATATTTCGAATCAGGTAGGCTGATACATATGGAAATGGATAAATTTGCAATTAATGTTACAGGCGACACATTCGAGTCTACTGATGAAGGCTCTAGCATGGATACTCATGAAGATGTGCGATTGGAAGACGTTGACCCACTGCAGTACCATTGTTACACCAAATTTATAAATAATACTAGGTATTCAATAAAATACTTACAAGGTTTCCATGGAGTTTTTATTTCGTTCTTTATAATAAATATTACAATACTATTTCAGTTCTGTTTCAAAATAACTTTAAAAAACATTGTTTATAGACAAAATATCAGTGTTCATTAATCTTAGTAATAGTCATTTCTTACAAGCATATAATATGAACCTGTAATTTGTAAAAAAAATTGGAAGTTAAATTTGACCAACTTCTCGGTTTTCGATGGAGCTGAAATTTTGGATATACGTTTGATTTAGAAGAGTGACGTCGTACTAAATCCAATATTGCTCTAGACTCCTAAAGAAGGAGGACTAGTTATTTTTTTTTTTGCGATCCCATGATATGGGTATCAAATAAAAGGGTTTTCTGAGAAGAATATCAAAAATAAAAGTAAAGCGTGTTTTTTTTATTTTTGTCTCAAACTCGTTCGCATAAATTAAACGTTTTCAAATGATTCTTAAGCAATAATTTATATTAACGTAAGTCTTACCATAGATACTTGCGTAATGAAGTGTTAAAGTTACGAAAGTTAGAATCAAGAAATGTTTTTATTATATATCTCTTAAACATTTATTATTATAAATTTCTTAAACAATTAATATCGGGTTTAAAATTAATTAGGTCTTTGTAAGTTTAAGTTGAACATTACAGTTTTTTTAACTGAGCTTCTGTAGTCAATTCGTTTGTTTATGTAATTTGATATAATTATATAATGCTAGTAATACGATTGAATGAAGGAAAAAAATATTAGTTAAGCTGGCAACATTAAGTACGCCATCAGTCGGGCGCAGAGTTTTGGCGGGAAATTGACCGGCGGCGGTTTGCTGCTCCTGTATTATTGTTTAAATAATGGTTTGAAGTGGACTTTGATATGTAAAAGTGTTGCGATTTTGTGTATTAAGTGTCTACGCATGTGAACTATTAGTGGAAACAGTGAAACAAGTGCTCTGATGGTGATGGATTCTCAAGATAAGCTGTTTGTTTGCATAGGCACCTTTAGATACCATCGCCAACTAACAGCCGTCTGCTGGATCAAGTTGCCGCCAAAATCTCCCAAGAACTGCACAATGTGACGCATCAACATATTGTGAAGCAGTATACTATGAAGGAGTGGGGAAATTACAATAAACCGAATAAAAATACTTAAGACTTGGCCTAAAGGTCTAGATACCAGGCCATAAACTCCAAAAAAAAAAAACAGTCGGGCGCAGAGTTATCTTATTCTCTATCTAGTCTGTGGTTATTTTGCGCGCACTATACTATACTCTTTGCACTTGTCAATGTCAGGTGTCAGCTGTTGACAATTTGCGATTTTGCGATTTGGAGTTTTTGTGTAAAAAGAAGACTTATTTCGATAAATATTATGCACCTAATGAAAGTGACGTGTTTCCATAAATTTCTTTATTTTAAAATCACAAATTAACTGGGTGACTTACGTGAAAATCCATTTTATATATTAAAATAATGAAAACATGAATAACAGTTCAGATTATGTTTATTGGTCGGAGCTTCATTGCTCTAAAGATGCATTAACTGATACTTATGGATGGTTTATGCAGTTTTTGCTTGCTGTATTGGCCTTCACATGTTTGATTGGTAAGGTTGCACTTATAAATTACTAAGATCAACAGGTTGCTAAAAAGTTAGATAAATATATTGATACTTAATAATTCTGAGGATACAGAATGTTCGAACGAAAATAAATCTATTCATGTTGGTGTATTTTTATTTATGTTGTAGAACGGGGCAAATGAGGAGACCCTCCTAATGGTAATTGAGATGCTAATATCAAGGGAATTGGAGGTATTCAAAAATTATACCTACCTCTTCCCATATATAAGTGGTTGGTGTTTAGTTTAATAACATCTTGTGTAATGTTCCCTTTCCTTAAGTAGCTATTTTTATAAAAAATCTACATAAATGATTTTGGTGACAAACTTTGCAAGTCAGTGTTAAGGACATAATTGCTATATTTGCTGCATTTATAGCTGTTATATTTCCTGAATTAGCCACACTGCAGGGCCCCTGAGCTGCAGAATTGAGCCTCTACATTTCTATATTTATCTTCATCAGTCTGTAAAAATCCACTGCTGGATATAGACCTCTGTCATTCTTTCTTTAAATATCAATTTTTGCATACAGGTAAAAGATTCTGTGAGCCACGTTACGCTAGAAGACCTTGGTTGATATGGTTCTATGATACTTCAAAACAGGGCTTGGGTGCCCTCATTATTCATGCAGCCAATGTTTGGTTGTCTCCACATCTAACAGGAAATCCATGCACTTGGTCAGTATAAACACTTATGTTAAAAATACATGCCTAATAACTATAGTATAGAAATTTTACATGTTATAACTTTTGTGAATTCTTAGCCTATGTTTAGACAGCGTGAGTGTCTTTACATATACTAGCATACTGGAGAACATAGAATACTTGAGATACGATGATGAGTTTTTAACTCTATGAATTTAAACATAACACTTGAGAGTTATCATCAACAATCAATACTGTTTCACATAAGTTTTTATTAGCATAGAAAAGAAGATTAGTTTTAAGGATCAGAAAGATAAATTGGTGGTTAAAAGACATTTAAATATTTTTAGAAACTATTCCACTGCTTATGTTAAAAATTATTCTCAAAATTATTTAAATAAAAGAACACTAGTCATTGTTGTGGTGTGAAGATATTTTAAATATCAACTTGTAGATATTATGTGCAGTAGTGCGAGTAAATCATGCCACTCCTTGCCTCCTACCTCCCCACTCTAGAGTTGTTTTGCAGTTATATATATATAAAATACATATAAAAGTTTGTCATTGAGACAGTTTTTTTTTGTGTACCATTTACTACTTACTCTATTCTCTATTTTATACACACACAAGGAAATATTCCTTTCATTTAAATAATTTTGAAGAGTAATTTCTGTCAATTTATTCAAGTCTAAGTGACAGAATAAAACTATTTTATTTAAAGTTGCTGCCTTTGGCTTTAATACGGGCCTAATATGTCTACTCACAAACATAAAGATTTTCACTTTGTTTCTGCTCTATAAGATTTTTATGACACTCAATGTTAAAAAATTATACTATTATATTTTATATATTGCTATATATACTATATTAGCAATATATAGAGGCTAAATGATCTAATAAAGTTATTGTATTGTATTGTATTGTAAGGCACTTTCTTGGAACTTTGGCCGTATTCTATTTCTACAAAAATGAACCATAATTGATGTAGGATGATAACCATGTTGAATTTTCCCAACAAGTTACGAGGCTTGTTAAGGACTGTGAGCATACACTTTGTCATTTTGCTTTTGGAAGTGAAATTCAATTGCAAATAAAATTTTCCTTGGTAATGAACAAATTTCTGTCTTTTCAACTAGCGTTTTGAAACACAATCGGGGACTGGTTTAGGTCATGTGCTGTGGCTTTTATCATGGACCGGTAACTAGATCAGCATCTAACTTTAGGTCTTGTTGAGTAATTTGTAGGTAACAAATTCCTAGCGAGATCTTTATTTCACATTTTGTTTCTAGGGATTTGGAGAACTAAGCTGTGACAATGTTCACAGTCCATCTAATCCTAACAGTGTTCAGTTGCCCCATTCTTTTATGGTTGACATACCTGTCTATAGTGCAAACATATTTATAAGTCACATAATTTATGACTAGGCTATTAACATATATGTAAGTTTTTATTATATACTCTAGAAGTTATATTGACATATTGGAACAGACAGATAAACAAATCTTTCGGGGATGCATTGGCATCATCATAAAAATTGTATAATGTAAGGCTGTAAAGTTACAATAATAATTTAAAATTAAAAATTTTGTACAGCCGACTTCAATATAAGTTATTTAAGAATAACTCAATAACCCTTAGTCTGTTCTTGATCAAATTCATATGGGACCACACAATAACTATCAGCTTTCATATAAAAAAAGAATCATCGAAACCGGTTCACCCAGTACAAAGTTATGAGGTAACACACACATAAAAAAAAACATACAGTCGAATTGAATGCCGTCTCCTTTTTGGAAGTCGGCAGAAAAAATGACACAATATTAAAATAGCATAACAAAAAATTACACTTCAAAAAATTACACTATTTTGCCTTTTGTCAAAGGAAGTGCATTAGGCATTTTTAACTTAATTATTGGTTTCCTAATTATAAAATATCTATGTATTATAAATTATAATATTGTTTTAACATTATGGTAACTGTTAACACACCAGTGTAAAGCACTATGATTATAGTGTGGTAGTGAGAAATAGTTGTACTGATGTATCACCAAACCAATATTTAATTAAAATATTGGTTCGGTGTAGTTAAAAATTCAAAATCACGTAAAATTGATTGAGTAACAATAAACTTGTAACACAAGACATTAATTTTGAGCAGTAACATTTCACTCACATGCGGATTTTCCATTGTAGCCACTAACTGTTCTATCGCTTTAAAGCATTAACAAACTCGTGCTTCGTTCCACCCTCAGATTCGAGCGCATGCTCTGTCACACTCTTCACTCATTCACTCTACCACCACCCAGCTCTCTGCTCTGGTGGTTATTTTTTGGAAACCACGTATTATTTCTCGTTCAATGGTAATATGTCTGCTTTGGGATAACAACCGAAGATATAGATATGTGGGTAATAAATATTACGAAGCATCATCATCATCACCAGTCTATCAAAAGTCCCACTGTTGAACATAGGCCTCCCAATAGATTGCCTCGTATCTCAGGGAATATTTTCCACAGTCTCCAATGACATACTTTTTAGGTGGGTTGTTTGATTTGGTTTGCATTGTTTGATGCTGCTGCACCATCTCCGGTTTCATTTCCCTCTGTTGCCTCTTACGACACCCTCGGAATGATATCGGATAATTAATATTCTTAAACTTCCAGTGAATATTATTAAATGAGTAGCAATCAATGGGCAGTAGCATCTGCCTGATAACAACCCAAAATAATAAAAACTGCGGTTGCTAATCATAATCAAAACATATCTATATAATATACCTATATCAATTTGTGCAGGGCTGTAATGTAATGATATTGATTATAAAGAGTTATATTTAGGGTGGAAGGGGAAAATATTTTACTCTTTGTGTCCAAACTTCACCTGCACATAGCGAACCATACCATATAAAAGACGAGGCTCTAGTGACTGATGGTGAAAAATCCACCCTAATGTGACTAAGCTCAAATGAAACTCGAATGAGGATATCGGCTCTCAATATCCCACCCGCCCTCTATGATAAGTTTGGGCAGTCTTAAAAATACCGATAGTGAATTCGAAAGGTAAATAGGGTTTGGTCTTCACTTTTTCTTCATAATTTGTGTAGTCAGTATATTATCAAGCTGGAGACTAATGCTTTTATTTCTATTATTATTACAGGTATATAGTTAACTTCATGTTAGACTCAACTTTAGGCTTGCTTATAATATGGGCTGGCATTAGACTGGCGCAGCACTGTGCGAGGACTTATGATATACCTCTTATTAACTTCGGAGAATATGGTAAGTTTATATATTTAAGAACAAGTGGTTAAATTAAAAATTTTGTACAACCAACTTCAATACAAATAAAATGATTTATTGTTGGTTTTTTAAAAACTGCTCGACCAATTTAGATAAAATTTAAATGGGACCACCTGGAAAGTATATCCTTTTAAATAAAAAAATAATTTTCCAAATAGGTTTAAGTGTCTTCGAGTAATCGGGTAACCTAAATTAAAAATGATTCGGCCGAATTGAGAACCTCCTCTTCCGTTTTTGAAGTCAGTTAATAATATATAAAGTGGGATCGAAAAATTTTGTGATGAAACCTGCATGGCTGAGAAATTAATAATGATTCTTAAATAATGAGGATAAAGGAAACTACACCCACTGGTCGATATGGGATGGTAAATATTCTTACATCGCCACTCAAGCCTTATGTAGTGGTTTTTAAATTATGAACTCTTCTTAAGGGCATATTTTAGTGTGCGTCAATTGGTGAACTTTAAGGATTAGCTTATAAAAAAAAGTGTGTTTGTTCAATATGTACATACACACATAGGAAGTTATGCTTCTTCAGTGTAACAAAGTAAAAATAACTAACTTGAATATAGTTTATTCCCACGAAAACTTGATAGACAATTTCCCAATGAAGTTGTCGCTTTGAATGTCAGTGTGCGCGCGCATCGTAACAACTTCATGGTGTCGTTTTTATCTGTCGGTGTGCACGTGCGTCGTAAAAAATTCACTCTCATAATTTTTCCCAAACGCCCTAAAAGAAGTATAACTTCAAAATATATTGGTTGATATCCCGTTGCTGCAATCTCGAGGAATTCTGTAACATCATCACATTCCTTGGTTGTTGTAAGATGTGACTTAATGAAATGCCATTTGATCTTTTGACCTTTTACATTGGATGTAAAATAATCCAAAATCAAACGGATGTACCATAAAAATGCTAAGCAATTAAAGCAAATTCCCCCTTAAGAAAATCCTATGTCTGTATGTGTATGTGGACTGCTCATGGATGAGATGAATATATCCCATATTTCCGGTCCGAATGAAAACTAGAATTTAACTTTATTGTTCACAGGGAAGCCTCCGATGTGCGCTGCTTGGATATGCCAATGTGTTCTGTATGCAGCCTTAGCGACGTTCGCTAAGTCTGTATTGGCTTTAGTACTGCGGCTACCGCCCGTAGTAGCAGTACTATCAACACTTCGTCTCTCGCCTGTTTCTGATCCGCGCCTGGAACTGGCTGTTGTTATGCTCATCATTCCCTTTTTTGTTAATGTAAGTTGTTCATTTGATAAAAATATCTTAAACCACATTTGATTAAACCGTATACATACAAATGCTGTATACCGTGTATAATATAATACACAGAAACCATTTTTGATAAACGCACAGAGGCATTTTAAAGGAAGCCGTAAATGACTCGACGGCTCCGCATGTCTTCCAATTATGCGTGCACATAAAATGATAGTAAGTAAATTGAAAAAAAAAAACATGGTACAAAATGAGACTGCAATTCATATATTTTGTTTCCATTACTACTAGCGAAGTTGCACGCAATCATGCTTCTCGGTCCTTAATTTCGAACTAGTTGAGCTTGAGCCTAGAATTAGTAACTATCTCTTACATAATATCTTTGTATCCAAAAGCTATTGTATAATTACTCCAACCCATGTAGTGAGGTTGCCTCTGGCCTATTGGTTGGCGGCGCATTTGGATTCTGGTATAATCCAATTCTGCTAATCTCTACATGTACGTGTAACTCTAAAGTGTTGGATTGCATTCTATTTTTATTTGTTCTGAAACATGAAGATACTCTCACCGTCATGGAAACTTGGCCAACATTGAATTTTGCAACAACTTGCTTTTAAATACTTTTTTATTAATTACTTAATTAGGTATTAAATCTTCAATTAATACTGCGTAGGCGGTCATAACAATTGTCTCTCAATAATGTTTTCAGTACTTTTATATGATTATTAAAAGATAACTACACCAACAATTAAGTTTGTATCGGCGGTTAATTAAAACTACACACCCTTAAGGAAAATTAGAATTTTCTACGCTCAACTTTAAAACACTACAAAATAAAGAAGCAATTTTTTATCATTGTCTATAGACGTTAGCACCGCGTGTTTCATCCTCTAGCTCTACTAACTGCCTGTATTCGGTCTAACATGCTAGTTACCTGTTTTAACAACGACTTGCGATATGGTTGTCCAAGCCGCCAATGCTGCATTTCAGAGCTGATCAAGAGTTTGTAGTGGGCTAGGAGAGTATTTAATCTTTCTTTTAATCATGTCCCATATAAGCTCGATTGGATTTAAGTCTGGACTACGAGCGGGCCACTCCAATTTTTGAATACCGACCTCTTGAATGTATTTATTCACGCAATGCGCTGCGTGTTCAATGAACCCCGAATAAGGCAAAACATTGTCCTGTAGGATTTAACGATAACCAACTCTATAGGTATATTCGCAAAGCACTTCTCTCCCTGGACATCCAGAAGTCGAGTGGGCCTGACGGAATCCCCCCAATTGTGCTGAGGACGTGTGCTCCGGAGTTGGCACCGGTCCTAACGCGTCTTTTCCGGTACTCCTACTCCCAAGGCGTAGTCCCGAATTCATGGAAGACAGCTTTTGTCCACCCGATCCCTAAAAAAGGCGACCGCTCAGACCCGTCCAACTATAGGCCTATCGCGATCACCTCCTTGTTCTCCAAAATAATGGAATCCATTATTAACTGCCAGCTCATCCGGTACCTTGAGGATCACCAGCTGATTAGTGACCGCCAATACGGTTTTCGTCGGGGTCGATCAGCTGGTGATCTTCTGGTCTACCTGACCCATAGATGGGCGAAGGCAGTAGAGTCCAAGGGGGAGGCGTTGGCCGTTAGTCTGGACATTGCGAAGGCCTTTGATCGGGTTTGGCACAAAGCGCTTCTTTCGAAGCTGCCTTCCTATGGGCTTCCCGAGAAATTGTGCAATTGGATCACCAGCTTTCTTGCAGATCGGAGCATCAAGGTCGTTGTAGACGGTGCATGTTCTGACTACAAGCCTATTAACGCTGGTGTTCCACAAGGCTGTGTGCTATCACCAACGCTGTTTCTTCTGCATATCAATGATATGTTGCTAACTGGTAACATTCATTGCTATGCGGATGACAGCACTGGTGATGCTCTATACACCGGCCGGGCCAATATTTCTCGGGAAAACGTCGCCGAGTACCGGAACAAACTTGTGTCTGAAGTCGAGTCTTTGCTGGACAAAGTCTCGGATTGGGGGCGACTAAATCTAGTCCAGTTTAATCCTCAGAAGACACAAGTTTGCGCGTTTACCGCTAAAAAGAACCCCTTTGTCGTATCTCCTCAGTTTCAAGGCACTCCCATTCTTGCCTCAGCCAGTATCGGTATCCTCGGAGTCGACATATCGAGTGACGTGCAGTTTCGTGGTCACTTGGAAGAGAAGGCCAAATTGGCCTCTAAAAAGCTTGGCGTGCTCAGCAGAGCGGGACAGTATTTCATGCCGGCACACCGCCTGCAACTTTACAAGGCGCAGGTTCGGCCTCACATGGAATACTGTTCCCATCTCTGGGCAGGGGCTCCCCAGTGCCAGCTCCTTCCACTTGACCGCATCCAGCGCAGAGCGGCTCGAATCGTCGACGACCGAGCCCTTTCCGATCGGCTCGATTCATTGGCACTGCGAAGAGATGTTGCATCTCTTTGCATTTTCTTTCGCATCTACCATGGGGAGTGCTCTGAGGAATTGTTCGGATTAATCCCAGCCGCCAAATTTCACGAACGCACATCGCGGCAGAACTCCCAATACCATCCACACCATCTGGATGATTGGCGGTCCACCACTGTGCGATTTAGAAGATGTTTTCTTCCTCGCACAACTTCCTTGTGGAATAGTTTACCACCAGGGATTTTTCCGGACCGATACGACTTAGGGACCTTCAAGAAAAGAGCCTACTCCTTTTTAAAAGGCCGGCAACGCATCTGCAATTCCCCTGGTGTTGCGGTTGTTCATGGGCGGCGGTAGTCACTTACCATCAGGTGAGCCGCATGCTCGTTTGCCCCCTCTCCTATAAAAAAAAAAAAAAATAGGAGCGTCGGAAAGTCGGAACTTATTCCTCCCCACACCATTATGGAACTTCCGTGAAAACTCACTGTTTGTGTAGTGCTAATGGGTAGAAATCGTTCTCCTCTTTTTCTCCATACACGTTCTCGACTGTCTGGTGCACGTAATGCAATCCTACACTCGCCTGTAAACAAAACTTTAGCCCACTGCTCGTGAGTCCAAAGTCTTGCTACTCGGTGATGTCTGAGAAGCTCTGGGGTGCGTGCTGGTCTACGGGCTTTTATACCCACTTCCTCCATGCGTCTTCTCACCGCTCGCTAACATTAACACCCCTCGTGTTTTGGAGCCGCTGGTGAGTTTCTACTGCGGTAAGGTAGTGATTTCGCAAAACTTCTAGGACAATCAAGCGGTCGTCTCGGGCTGATGTGCCTGGTCTGCGGGTGTAGCTGCCAGTCTTCTGGTATCGTCTCAAAGTTGCATTGAAGAATGTGGTACATTAATTGCTGTAGCCACTTCATGTTGCGTCAATCCGTAGTCGATTAATGCTACGGCTTGTGCAACCTGAGTGGGTGTTAAGGGCATTTTTTTTAGTTTCATTGCACCTTTAAATATTGGATTAAACGCACAAAATCACGAAAGTTCAGTAACCGAACGGTACACTTTTCACAATCCTAAGTTTAAAAATTCAAGTTAGTCGCTCAAATGACTCGATTCAACTAAAGCTTGAATTGCTCTCTTGAACTCATTAGCATTTTTTGTGACCTACCTTTTTAAGAAATATTCATTATAAACACACAACTTTGTTATCGCAAGATAAGGGCTTGCCCAAAATTCCGTGCCGCTGAGTGTAGAATGCCTGCAAGATTGTTTTAAATTTTTATTCAGCGATTTCTTAAATAAATATAACTTAAATTTACACATTTGTAATATTTTCTGTACCGCAACTTTAATTTCTTTTATTTCAGATTTTAATATTTTGGGTTACTGATAACTTCCTTATGTACCGCCCAAGGGGAGTGAGCTCCAAGATAAAAACTAAGGTAGGTATTTCAAAAACATTAATATCGAGCTAATCTTAAACTAATACAAGTCATTGACCTAAAGGACAATGGCAGAAAAATAGTTGACAAAAATTATCGCGTCTAGAAATAAGTTATATATAAAATTAGTTTTATTATTTTTCTATGATTTTTCAAACAAAAATGTATTTTAATTAAAGCCACAGAAAAAAAAAACAAACATTTTTGGGAATATCAAATGACATAAATCATTTTACTCTATTCAAGTGCTGCCATTTAGTATATTCATACTATTTTCGTATACACTTTGTAATACTACCATCACAACACTCAAAATATTTTTATATTAAGATATTATTAGTAATAACTATACTATCAGTAATAATAAAAATAAAATTGATATGGTTCAGAATAAGTCTCTTACAAAGAACTTCCTACAATAATACATTATCTCAATCATAGTATTAAGTAACAATTACATTTAATGTTATGGCAACACTAGCTAAAACAAAATGTCACTGTTTTTTTTACTGGCTTTACGGCTCTGGGTTCTAGCCCTTCTGAGAATGTCACTATGACACAAAGGCCCTGGAGCCATGCCACAAATATACATTTATAGTATGCAAATATATAATAGAGATATAATAATCTAAAAACTCTCAATTATTTATTATGCATTAAGCTAACATCAAACAACCACAGGAAGAATGACTTTTTCCAAGTGACATAAGACATAACCTAAAAAGGTTCAAATCTAAATATCTTTTTTTTGACGCCTTCTCAGGACAAAATTCTTTGACAAAGTTATTATGGGACTGACGCTTAACATTTTAAGATAACATAACATAACATAAACACTCACGCCTGTCACCCAGAGGGGTAGGCAGAGACTACGGACTTCCATTTGGCGCGATCCTGACACACCTCTCTCGCCTCTTTCACATCCATATATCTACGCATACACGCTCGTCGGTTAAGGGTACTCCTAATCTGGCCCATTTTCAATGTATCGCCGATCTGGTCGATAAACCTTCGTCTAGGGCGTCCCTTCCCGACCCTGCCGTTCACTTCTGCAACATAAATTTGCTTTGTCACTCTTTCCTCGTTCATTCTTTCTACGTGACCAAACCACCGAAGCATTCCTTTCTTAATCCTTGTCACAACGTCATCTTGCAAACCACACTTTTCTCTTATTACACTATTTCTCACCCTGTCATTCAGATTCAGCCCTAGCATACTCCTTAAGGAACGCATTTCTACAGCATTTATTCTACTCTCATGCTTCTTCTGCCAGACCCAACTTTCACTACCATACATTAAAGTGGGTACTAACACAGCATTATGAATTGCCATACGTGCCTTAGTTGACACATTCTGACTCCTCACAATAGCGTGTAGAGCCCCATTCACTCTATTTCCTGCGTTCACTCGTCGTTCTATATCCTTATCATATCTACCATCCCTGCTAAATAAACATCCCAAATATACAAACTCATCCACTTGCTCAATCAACTCCCCTTCTATTCTTATTTTACATAAAGTTTTACTTTCTTTTTCAAAAACCATCACTTTCGTCTTACTTGCGTTCACTTTCATACCCCTTTCTTTCAATGAACAATTCATTAAAGTAACCATCATTTGCAACTCGGCCGCCGACGATGCAAATATGACTTGATCATCGGCGTACAAAAGGCATTTGACGGTTGACTCACCCATTCTCAACCCACATTCTTCAACTTTCAAAGTTTGCAAACAACTGTCCATAAATAGGTTAAACAGCCACGGGGAAGCCACACATCCCTGTCTGACACCTTTATGAATGCCAAACCAGTCCGAGTAGACCCCGTTGATCCTGACACAAGCACTAGAGTCCCTATAAAGAGACTTTAATGCCTGTATCAAGCCAGCGCTCAACCCAAATGAGTTCAGTGTTTGCCATAACACGTTCCTGTCCACTCTGTCATAAGCCTTTTCCAAGTCCAAGAACGCACAAAAAACTTTCTGGTTTTTAGCCAAAAACTTCTCCGCTATCATGCGCATGGAAAAGACTTGATCCGTACACCCCATCCCCTTTCTAAATCCAGCTTGCACATCCCAAATTTTTCCATCAGTTTCTTCCATAACTCTTTCAATTAACACCTTAGCATACAGTTTACCCACAATGCTAAGCAAGCTGATACCACGGTAGTTTTTACAGTCCTGCTGCGACCCCTTTCCCTTATATATTGGGACTATAACGGCTTTGCACCAGTCTTCCGGTACCCGTTTCAGTTCCCAACATAAATTAAACAAGGTGTGCAGCAGGCCTGCAACCACACCCTCACCAGCCCTTAGCATTTCGAGTGATACTCTATCATATCCGGCTGCCTTACCTGCTTTCATGCTTTTCATTGCTTTCATTATTTCATCTACACTTATCTCCCTACCTCTCTCCACTTCTTCCGGAATTTCTATTTCACTTATTTCAGACGACTCTTCACTCTTAAACACGCTTTCAAAGTATTCCTTCCATCTCTTTAAATTCGAAACTTCATCATTCAGCATGCAGCCATTCTCGTCTCGTATAGCATTCATTCTAGGCTGTTTTGAAATTCCCCTGGCAGTTCTTACGAGCTTCCAGAACATTTTAATATTTTCCTGGAAGTTATCAGATATCCTTCTATCATTTTTATCTATCCTTTCTTGCTTTTTCCTTTCAACAACTTCTTTTACTCTCTTATTTATACGTCTAAAGTTTGCCTTTTTTCTTTCAATCTCATCATTCATACCGCCAGAATTACTAGCTTTAGTTGCTAGTAAATCTAGCCATGCTCTCTTCTTTGCTTCAACTTCCATCCGTACCTCATCATCCCACCACAACGTATTACTTTTCCTTTCATTCGTTCTCTTACTTACACCGCATACTTCGGTGGCTGCATCCACCAGAACTCTCTTAATATTATTCCATACATTCTTCAATTCTAAATCATTCATACATAATTCATTCAACCCACTTATATTTTCCCTCAGTCTGCATTTATACTTCTCTTTCACACCTTCACCATTTTAAGATATTTTTGATATATAGACGCTACCATTCCTTCTCAACTAATTTTATGTATGAAAGTCTGCCATTGTTCTTTACATAACCTTACACATAGTTGTTATCAAAGTTTATATAGTTTTCTTCATTACATTTTTTGTTAAATTATGCTAAAAGAAACTGTCCAGATTATCCCATGGTTATTGTAAAAGTAAACTTTAAAAGTAGACTGTACAATGACCACGCTCTCACAGAGTACCAGCTTAAAATAGCAGCTTAACACTGCTGTGTTTCGTATGGTGAGTGTAGAGAACCGGAAACCCATTTTACTGGTAAAGAGGCATTCCATTTTAGCCCTCAAGGCTGACATCACATCTGTATTTTGATTCGCAAACGAGGATAGATGTAGATGTCTATGGGCCACAGCAACCACTTACCGTCAGGTGGACTGTGTGCTGGTTTGTCACCCTATCCTATAAAAAAAAAATGAGAAAACCTTAAATTGATGGTACTTATTTATTTTGTTAACAACACTGTCTTGTCATTAAAGTTTGAATTTAAGATCTAAGGCCGATATACTTCCGTGCTTTATATTATGCCTCACTTAATTATATTTGCCTATATCGCCAGCCCCTTTTAGATAAATATTTTTCAAGAATGCGTCAACTGGCATACACTAGGAACTTGGAAGATTAACTCCCTGGGAAAGGGGACTTCCCACGCTCTGGTAATGCTGCTCCCTTTCACCAGTTTGCGAAATCAATGGCAGCGTTTTAGGATGGAGTTACCGCCATTAGTCTGTCGTCAGACTCTTGTCCGTTAATTAACAGGTTACACCTAGTACAGTTTAAGTTGGAATATTCCATTTTACACTCTTGATTTTGATACTATGCCTTAATGTAAAAAGTGCTTACTGCCATGACGCGATGATTCTCTTTCACAGACTACCTAGTTTCTGCTTTCTATAGTAATAAGATCATAAACAAATAAAGTCTTCAAATCCAAAACTAATATAGAAAAACCAAATACAACTCGAGTTATTTTTAATAAATGAAGTATGTAAATTATAATATACGTTTTACGAATAGACGAATTAAAAAGTATAAAAAAATAAAAGCAACAACAAATTGAAAACATTCAATAAATAGTAAGTGAGATATAGTAGGATTAGTGTAGTGACTGGCGATGTTGCAGAACTTTTTAACTTCTTAGAACCTCTGTAAATCTACTGAGATATAGTTATTGCGCAAAAACAAAACCATTTCATATTAAATGACTGGCTGAAACGCGAATCATAAAAATTGGTTCGATAAAAAAATCATAAAGATAACACTAAATTTAATCACAATTTAAACGTGTAGCTCCTTCGTATAGATTCCACAATGAAACCGTGTAAAACTTGTATCAAATGAGAAGGCGTATTATTTTTAGGTCATGCTGAGAAGACATTATAAAACTAATCAAAAGTCCCCTGCTGCATATAAGCCTCCCCATAAATTGCCATATTGTGAGATATTTGCCATAGTTACCACGCTTGGCATGCGGGTCAGCAAGCGCAGTTTTTACCACGTTTTAATTAACTCGCTTTAGTCTATGTCTGTTCGGATCGAATTTAGTAATTGATTTTAAACTAACTCCCCGATGCGCTACAGACTCGAAATTTTGAACATGGCTCATAATCGGATGATGAAACTAAGCACTAGTTTTAGCTCGCTTTCTTTAAATTTATTTATGTACACACAACAAAATACAGAAACAGTCTTGTAGTGAGTTTGTACAAAGGTTCTACTTATTCCATAATTCGCTGAAATATCTTCTAGTAGACCCACAAAGGAAAATAAATGAATAAGCTTTGTTTTTATTCAGCTGTTATCAAGAAGATGCTACTGCCCATCTTCTGGTTCAGAGGGATTATCGCCTCTTGCGACACCCACGGCATGATATGTGAAAGTGTATGTTCTTACACCGCCACTACACGATTTAGGTGGTGGATGTTCTTTCACCGGCACATTTTATAAATTAGCTTTTATTTTTATTTAATGAATAAAATAATTCAGACAATCACGGTCGCCCCGGCCAGTGCCAGACATCTTCAAGGTTGTGGATGTACGTTGTTTGTTCTAAAATTCTCACCTTTTAGTACTAATTCGCTCGACACTAGCCGGGAGTGAGGTAACGTTTAATACCCACACCTTGTATTACAAGACGGCCAAATTAAAGTTAATATGATCGATTTCTTTTAACAGGTAAGATACCAATCAATAAAAAAAGAGAAATCTGGTTCGGAGGATGAAGAGCAGTCAGCTGATGAAAGACTTCTCGGCGCTAGTGTATGACCCTACATTAAGCCCACTGTATTTCGGGCTTAAAAGTGGGCAGTCTCGTAGCTCAGTACTCTGAATTTGCTAACTTGCATTTTTCGCATTGTTTATTATCCTGTGTTTTATTCATAACTAACAAATTGTCCGTGTTTTGTTTGTATTATAAATTTATTTCAAGCAAAATAACATAGAGCACACGAACATATTCAACTAAGCATATCCGGGGATCTTAATATAGTATAGTAGCATTAAAAGGTTATTCTAACATACTATATAAGAACTATAAATTTAAATGTGAACTTCCACCATTATTAACTCAACGATTACTAGATTAGTGTAAAATACTACTTTATCTACTCTATCTACTTATCTGGTTTAGAGGTGAGAAGCGCGACTGCTAAACATGTTGCACCAACGTCGGGCCAACAATCAGCAACTGGGTTTTTCTGTGAAGAAATTCTCATTACCAATCGAGAGCCAGGAATTTGGCGGTGATTCACCCCTGTGCTTCGAAAAACTTAAATGTTAAACCTTTGGTCTTGCGCCTGATCTTTCTCCGGTCAGTATATCTCCGGAGATTCAGGGGCTAGAAAGTGCACCTGTGCTTGTGCACATATTCTAAAAATATATATATAATCCTCTTCCTCGGAGATGGCTAGTTTCCGTAGAGACTTGCCGCCGTGATTGTAATGAAGGCAAATCCACGATTTTTACTGCCACCAGGGCGGCGCCAATGGGTCTGACAAACATTTTTTACCTGCCAAATAAATCTACAAAATAATACGAGAAAAACTGTGTTTTTACTTTTTTTATTTCTTAAAAATTGGCGGAGATATTAACGATCAAAGTGCGTGTTTCCGAACGAAGATTCTTAAAAACGCGGACGGGCGCTCACTAGCCGATGACGTCACCCCCGTTCATACAACAAATCGCGCTCGCGTCTGCACGCCGCTGCGCAGTAAAAATCTAAATTTTAAAGTTCTCTGTGGTAAAAATGGAAAAAAATACTGTATTGTGCCTCAATGCTTCAATTCAACAGTTAAAACACCTGATAAACTCTTTTGTTTTAATTTGCCTGAGGACCCAAAATGAAAAAGTGGATACAGCCGTAAAAAGAGTCGATTCAACAGGCCCTAAAACTAAATCGCACTGCTGTGAAGACCATTTCTATGTAAGTATTTTTGTAAGTAATAAGCTTATCCTTCTCTACCTATCCTTGCTCTACTAAACATACCTACTTGTCTACTTTGATTGTTTAGATAGATAGGTATTTTGCCAAAGTTGCCAACTACCTAGCACCTAGTAGCCGCGCAGTGCAGTGCTCCTCAACCGACTGCATTGGCGGGCCGCAAAATACACATAATATGGCAAAGTTTACAAAATATACATAAATATATATTTCCTTCCTACTACAAAATCAAACTCGCGGCCCGCATTTATCCTTACTTTTCGTTGTATTTTTGAACAATAGCAACGTACATACATTAAACACGGTTTTTATTTAGGTTTTCGAAACGTACATTTTTAATGTACCGTTAGAACGGCTTAACCGATTTTGATAAAACATGTCTATGAATCACTGTTAAAAAACAACATTAAGTACAAAATAAAAAAAAACAACACGGTTCACCCATTTATGAGTTACAGTACTACAGACAGACATACCGACACACAGACAGACATATAGTCAGACACACATAGCGGTCAAACTTATAACACACCTCTTTTTGCGTCGGGCATTAATAAATCTATACAAATAAATAAAATTGAAGTGTCTGTTTGTAACGTCAAAATTACAGTTTTTTACTAAATGCATATGAAAGTAAATACGATACCTATAACTAAAATACAATTTTTAAAATTTTTGTCTGTCTGTCTGTCTGTTTGTTCCGGGTAATCTCCGAAACGGTTGAACCGATTTTGACGGGACTTTCACTGGCAGATAGCTGATTTCATAAGGAGTAACTTAGGCTACTTTTATTTTAGAAAAAGAATCAATGTTCCGCGCAGAAACATAAAAACCCTAACACGCGAACGAAGTCGCGGGGAACAGCTAGTAACCAATAAAAATGGTAAGTAAAAATTTGCGACCCACAAGTTAATCAGCACTGATTTTTTTTAATGGTTTAATTAAAAAAAAAACTAAATGAATAAACTAAAGCAAGTATTGGATAAAATTAATCAAAAAATAGGTAACTATCTTTTATAGTATAACTTACCCACATCTGTTATATGGTATATGGGTAAATATTGACATTTTCTGTAAGTTTAAACTAATAAAATAACCATCAACAACCTGGAGATGTGGATTACAAGTAGGTACCTAGTATTTTTTATCGCCACCCATATTAGGTAAGTATTAAATGAAACACACAAAATTTCAGTTAGGTTTAAGTTTGAACAAATACCTATCTAGGTGTAATGCTTACCGAGGAGAGTAGGTACCTAATGTTTACTTAGAACATAGGTACGTACCTTTTAATCTTTATACAACGAATTTCAGCAGCCGTAAAATCCTGATTCTTCATGAAATATTGTGCCACCATCAAACTATCCACTCTTGGCAGATTGTCCGACTGTCCTTTTACAAAACCTTCTTCCATTCTAGCACTACACGTTTCACTTTAGTGTAATCGGATTTAAAGGATAATATTATTTCTTTAAAATACAAGCACAAACAATATAAGTAATAAAAATACAAAGACGATCTAAAGAAAATTAAACGAGACCCGCGTAATTTAGTCAAACCGCACCGGACCGAGTGCAGCGTTTGTGTCGCGGTCGCGGTCTGCGGGGGTGTGACGTCATAGCGTGAGCGCGCGTAATCTCTGAAATTCAAAAAAGAGCTTAAACTTCTCGTCGTTATAACTTCGGAAATATTGCATGTATTGAAGTGAAATAAAGACTAATGTAATGTACATGATCTTTGCTACGATTTTAATAGTATTTGGTAGTAATATTTTGACCCTTTTGTGTTCCCCATTAAAAATGAGGTGTAATATTTGAAAGATTTTATAGCGGGGAAGCTAATTTGTTCGAAAAATATAAAGGTTAATGTTTCTTTCTATACTATAAGTTATATTATGTATTAATTAGATTAAAAATAAATAAACCAAATCACAGATATTCATAAAAGTAGAAAAAAAAAAGTTGTTAAAAATGTTTAAAATATTAAAGAGCAAACCAATGAAGCAAGCAAGCATAGTTTTGTGTATACTTTAGAAACAGGTAAACTTTTATTTAAAACTAACTTCTCAATTAAATGACATTGTGTAACAAAAAACTTCACCTCAGTGTCAACTAGCGACATCTGGTGAGCGGCAGATTATTAGCCCTCATTCGGGCTGGAGGTCATTACATTGTAACAAATATGTATCATAATTATAACATAATAATATTATTTTATTATTCATTTTCAATTGGCAAGACTAAGGCAAGTTAGTAATTATAACTGTGTAAAAAAAATTGGTGTTTTATAAACAATAGGGTATAGGTATTTGGTCCATCATTGGGAAACTGTAATCGAAAGGATTCTCGTAATTACAAATACCAATATCGGTATGTTTATTTTTATATAATAGTTTTAATTACAAAATGGGTTTATCAGACAAGTGTTATTAAGCTTAAGAACCAACTCATCGACTTCATTGGGCTAACTTAATTGTTTCACAATGTTTTACAAATATTTTTATAATGAGCTAGGTACATGTACAAATGCCACTTTGCGTTGCATAGAATTAATACATAAAATTATTTTTGTAATGTTTGCTTTTTATTAATAATATTTGGTAATGTTCCTAAGGTGGTCTACTTACACCAATTATTTACTATGATCCTCAGAGTGCCATGTATTGTGACAAAATTGTAACATCGAACAAAGACTGAATCAGGAGGGTAGACATAAAAGCCGTTGTTATCCCTATACCATTTAATTATATTTGTTTTTAAAACAAGACAGTTATTTAGCGGTAAATTCTAAAGATTTTTTTTAAATTCACATTCCATTTACTTAGATAGTCTAATCCAAAGATAAATTAAGCACGACGCATATTTTATTAGATTATAAATTGAAAATGTTGACGATACTACGATACTAATTTAACATGATTGAAATACTTATTCAAAATATTTGATCGATGTTATAAAACTGACAAGAAATCAGTTCAAAGACAAACAATGTTCTTATTACGTTGTTAAATATCAAGAGACATAATCGTTTCATTCATCTGAAATCAACAACAGAATTATTTAAAGGATATAACCTTAACAATTCCACTTTGATTTCTGTATTTCTATGTTCTTTATTCTGTAAGTGTCAATTGTCATACTAAGAGAAAAAAACATCAATTAGTTTCCGAAAAAAAAAATGTTCATGTTTTTACAACTGAAAAAGTTCTGTCATGATTACCATTAAGGACACGGCTTTATTGAGTAGGTAATATAGACCATGTTCATTTTTTCGCGAAGCAAAAAGGGTTATTATGTGATTGAAGTATCTTTTGATTCATTCATCATTGTACATTATTATACCAAACTATTATTACATCGCTTTTGATTAATTTCATACTTGGATTAGAAATTAAATAAAACCTTTGTCAGTCTTGGTGTTTCCTCTAAAGTACGAATTATTATGACATTGTGTAAAATACGATATGATGATATTAAAATACTTCCTGCCATAATTATAAGTGATATATAAGTATACATTGTAACAAGGTCTCTAAGGATCTAATCGTACTCATTGCAATTATATTGATCTGATTTTAATTAAATACATTGAATAATATTTGTATAAAATTGCAGTGTCGTAATATAGACGGACGTCTGCATGTATATCATCAATAATCGTAGTGTAAATACATAATCGGTTAAGGAAATACTATATGTTAATAATGTGTAAACATTAATCAAACATTTTTGTTCGTGCTAGTGTTTATCGTTTGTGCGAATTAAAGTTACATCACATGTTATATTTGCGTTTTATTTTTGTCTTACTTTGTTGATAATTGTTAAATTTTTATGTGTATAGTTGTAACTTGGATGTAAAGGGACTTCTAATTGACTTCTAATGATAGCTTCATTTGCATACGAAGGCTAACATCCAGATGTTGATTCAATATAATGATGAAGATGAGAAAGATTAACCTTGCTTTTGAAAATTTAATGCAAATACTGTGTAATACATCTATTTGTCATATGTGATAAATGGAACGCGATTGTCTAATGGAACTTGGGTAACATGGTCAATTCAAGGTAGAGCACACTGTGTAGCTGCAACATCAATGAGTCGGCTAGAACGGAAAAGGACCTAGTATTAGTGGCAAGCACAGTACCAGCGTGACACAGCAGCTTAATGCTACGGTGTTTCGTATTGTGAGCGATGAGAACCGGAGACCCTATTACTGGTAAAGAGGCTTTCCGTCTAAGTCATCAGGGGTGACAATACGTCTGATATTTAATTCTTAAAACATGATAGATGAAGTTGCATATGGACAACGTCATCAACTTACTATCAGCACGGCTAGCATGTGTTGGGGACAAAAAATTTATCCCCCGATTATATCCACTGACAAGAGATAAAATTATCTTGTCCTTATGCCAAAGCACGGCAACGAGGAGAAGTAAATATCCGTTTGACATATCGAGTAGACATATATCCTCCGTCCGTAGCATGGAGTCAGAAGAAAGGTAAAAAATTATACTTTTATGACATTTGAAAGGGACAATTTTATCCTAGTTCATTGGACGTGGGTTTAAGTTTATATTCATACAAAAAATATATCTAAGTCTATCTCCCATTTTATCTATTGTAGATATTATATCCACCGGTGTGCCCATGCCCGAAGGGTGGATAAAACTAAGTGAGGGGATAAACATTTACTCCTTTCCCCGGGGATAAAATTGTCTCCTGTCCATGCTAGACCTGCAGATGGGATCCGTGCTGGTCTGTCCCCTTTACACCTCTGTAAATAAACCCAAGGGTCAAGGACTTGATAGTTATTCTGCCGTCACAAGCACCCGACGTAGACCACACAAAGAAACGACCATACCTCACGAAGTCTATGTTTATTGGGCATCCTCGAAAAGAATCTCACGCTGCTATCGCTCTCTCAGCTGCTTGGTCCTGGTGGCGTGAGGATCTAAGTCTTCATTAAAAACATAAGTCATACAAAATTGATTGTATTGATCTAATTACCTAGTACCTATTCGTATTACTAACGGTGATTGAAACTAATGAAGAAGCTGTGACCTCGGAAAAGAAAAAAAAGATTTCCAGTTGCCAAAAGTGACGAATTGCGGTACGATATAGACGAGCACGTGGTAATTAATATGTGCAGATGTGCATTGAATCATGCGCAGAGTTCACGCTGCCCCGCCCATAGTGTTGCATATATAACCCCAATGCATATATAATTTAATACATTCTATTGAAGACCCCCGCTGGTGGTCACTTAGGTGTCTCATATATTGCCTCATTTTTTCCACAGTTGCTACGCTTGGCAGGCGGGTTGCAAATCGCAAATTTCTATTAATTTTAATTGTTATCATGAAAATGCTGCTACCCACCTTGTTTCAGTTTTTTTTTGCGTCCAGAAGCAATTGAAAAGGGCTACCCCGTTAACGGGAGGAGGTGGTGAATTCTTTATGCATACCACGACAGCCGGCTGTCGTGGTTATGTGGGACTCACTGTGACTAACCTAACCACCCTAAGTGTACCCACTAAACACCACCTGTGGGACTGGCATTGGCTTATGAGGCTCTTTTGGGAAAAGGGGGCGCTTGTTTGATTTTCCCGCTGTCGCCTATTACGACATTCACGGGACGATATGAGTTAGTGGATAATCTTACTGTTAACTGCCGGTTCATCGCTTCTCCTTCCTCCTTTTGGATAAGATCAAAATGTAGTCATCCATATACCTATCTACAGTATAATACTAGTGTACTTGCATCATCTTTACTAAGATCGCATTCTGGACTAGAGATGGAGCAATGCGAAAAGCGAACGGCAAAAACTGGTTTATTTTTGACGACAATGTATTCCAAATCCCTTTATATATACCATACTGCTGTATATGGTAATGTGAATAAATGCGTGTGATGTCGATTCTGCAATGAATCCTTAATATACGATGTTATGTTGACCATTACTAGAATCACGGGATACTATCTCATCAATATTTGTGTAATACTAATAAGTAAGGATAAGGAGGCCATTCACGTAGCGACGGTCGTACGGATGTTTGTGACCGTGAAAGTTCGTGAACTTCCGTCACAGTTTAAAGGCTTAAACTGTGCTTCCATCGATGCGACAGGTTCTATTGTGATTTGATTGGTCGCAGAGTGGTCCATACGAGCGAGGTCATAATGATAAAGGAAACTTTATCGACTTTTCCTTTATGTTGTGACGTCGCAGATTCACGTCTTAGTGTGAGTTTCGATGCTTGTGACGGTTCAAATGAGCCAACCAATCAGTCGATTATTGTCAATGAAGTGTAGTGTTAGTGTGTCAAATAATAAAGATGGAAGAAAACATGAGGAGGAACATATGACGGGCTTACCTATATCGCTGTATGAAAGAGATTCGGGCTCGTGGTCAGAGCAAAGTGCGTTCGTTCGTTCTATAGATTTATTTACTTGCAATGCCAAATATTATTCATTTTTCATTGAAATTATTTATTTTTCTTTAAGTCACACATTCTTATAACGTTATTACGAATAATGCAGCATTTCTTCTGCACTATTTTTACTTATATTACATACATTACTTATATACGTTGAATACACTAATATATTTATGATTTTTCGCGGATCTTCCGTTAGAACAAGTCTCAACGCATGTATGTCGCTACGTGAATAGCCTTTAAAAATAGTAAATAATAGCTATACTTGCTGGCAGGTTCTTACGTAGTATTATAAAACCGTGGCTTCTTATTAACAAAACAATCGTTGCTATGGCGTTAACATATTATTGTTTTGACTACCTATTTTTCGACGGTTATGTTGTTTTAATTATTTTACTAATTATTGCGATTTGTGCTTAAGTCTTTGATCAATTTTTCAAACATAATAATAAATATGGAGGAAAGTGAACTAAGAAAACTTCTACGGACGAAAAATGGATGTCGAGTGCCAGTCATGCCTCCAATACCTGATGTTCATATGATGGATAAATTGCCTTTTACACCTCTACCACCATACAACCGTATAAAGGTAAGAATATATATTTTTTTCTTATTTTGTCAACACCTTGAATAGAAATTTTTAACGTGTAATGGCTGCAGGGCCAATGGATCGGCTCGACCAGTGATTGACCACAATCTTACAAAACACCAGTGTAGATAATAACGTAAGTATACGTTCAACCTCAAGTTTAAATTCAAACTGCACAATGTCAAAATTTAAGTCTAGACCATCTTTTAAGTTACACAAATAAAATCAATCATGACAAAGAGATTGTGTCTAAATTGTGGCTTTAGTCTTCAGGTCATTCATCAGCATTTTGGTTCTTACTTGAATATATAATGTGTCGAAATATAGGTGTTCACTGTCTACTATATCTATAGCACGCTGTGGCAGCATTCCTTTATATTATATGTCGCTATGATCATTCGTCAAAAATAATATTCATCGTATAAAAAATGTCAAAATGATAAATGAAATCATTTACCAGTTAGGGGACACATATATAAACGACACTTGATCGAAGACAACCGATGGCACGTCGTAGCCTCTGATGCCGGCAATGTTTCCGATACCAGCAATCATTGCCGGATACTGCAGTGACTTAAAGGTATCTAATCCAAAGTAAATGAGCACATATCGAAGTCCGTATAAATATGCGTTAATTTTGTTCAGCACACGTTTTATAAAAGTTGTCCGTGTATTGTTGTTCTTTGTGAGAAAATACATTATGCAACTACAACCGTTTGAGTTTTTTTCTTCGTGGACGGTAGTGGAGTAAAAACGAAAGAAACAGTAAAAAATAATGCAATAAACAGTACAAAATCAATGCGACAATACGTCTGGTCTCCTACCGACCCTATGCGCTCATGCTCATGTGTGCCGGCATTAAAGTATCACACAGTACTTTTGTATAACTGAAGCGACAAGGCTACCGACACTATGCGCTCATGCTCATGTGTGACTGTCTTTTTTCTAAAATCGCTTTTGTAGTGAGAACTTTGCGATACTTATAATTCTTTAAATGTATCCATAGAATTATCTAAACGATAAGGTATTTTTTAATATATTGCTTAAATAAAAACATTCTAATTGTGGAATAGTAGCCAACACGTGATAACTTTAAACTTAAATATTTCGCAACGTAAAAACTCGAAACAGATTGATAGGTTAAGTGCAATGTAAATAGAAGGTTTATTACGACAATCACATAGAATAGAATAGTTGATAACATACATCTAAATATAGAAGTATGATACCAAGAAATTCTATTGTCTGTTCCACATTCCTTGAGGGAGACCTATGTTCTATGTTATGAGTAGTCAACTTAAGGGCTTTAATGATGATGAATGACTCCAGATCTGATGACAATTGAAGTCTGCTTATATTTTTAAATATATAAATAGATTATCAAAGCTTAGCCATACGATGCATTGCACAGATGCACAGTAGCTTCGATGCAATCATTTTATAATTAGAGTTTACTTCGCTCTCTACAAAGAATGTTTTATAATTTAAAAAAAATCTCTATATTTATAGGAGAAACAAGCAAAATTCCGTAAGATTTTAGAAGCCAAAGCGACTGCGCGGAAGGTGACGATCGCACGTACGGTCATTCAACGTCAGGAAAGGGATGAACTGGAAATATCTGAGGAGCGACACATAGCAGTTTTACGACAATGTGCTAGCAAAATAAAACCACCGCCAATGCTAAAAGCGTGGGAAAGGAAGATCACATATTTAATACCTTCGAAACTTCGAAACAGTTTTCCAGCATTAACTGAGGAATTAATTAATGAAAGTAAACAAGAATGGGACCGGAATCTACACGAATTTGCAGTCAAAACTATCATTCGAGAAGTGCCTGGCGTTCCACGAAAGCGATATCAAGAGCCGCATTTTAAGTATCACGGTATCACCCAAAACTATCAAAGAATGATAAAGTATAAAAAAAAACTCCAAGACGGGTCGTTGATATTACATCCATTTATAAGACTTATTCTTGAATCAGCCGAAAAAGTGTTCCCTGAATATATCACAGACTTAGGTAAGTTTCGTATTAAAGGGCCAATAGAATTGCGTGAGTTCCAGATAAAAGTAATAGAAGAAATAAAACGCGCTGACCATCTCGTATCAAGCACTTGGTATTCAATACTAGTGCAATGGCTAAAGAATCCTAGATGTTTAAAAGGTATGCGTACGAAACGAATTCCCGAATTCATAAGATGTTCTAAAAAAATGATATCGATGCAAATACAAGAGTTTATGCGTAGGTCAATTAACGCGGTAATAGATGCCCTAAATGATCCTGAACGTGTACCAATTTTAAATCTAGAACTTCATTTTGATGGAGAATTTGCTTATTATCCAACGCTTAAGAATGTTTTCGAAGTATATCATAGTATAACTGACGCCATTTCCAACATCTCTCAAAGGCTTATGCCAATAGAACAGTATTTAAATATACCCTATAATTACGACGCTTTACCTGTCCTCTACAATGATTGGTTGCGAAACGATGGTCATGAAAGGCTACAAAATCGGCTAGATTTTGTTTTTTTTCCACTTTTTGAATATCTAGATAAACTGAGAGAGCAATACCATATGCTTTATGGTGATTGCGCCAAAGCTGCTCTACAGAAATTTGTTACAGAAACTGAAGATTTTGATATAGCTCGTGAAAAAATTAAGTATTTTCAGACTATTGATTCTAATATAACAGCAATTCTTGAAAATGAATACTTCAATTGTGCTATAGTTTGCCAGTTGAAAATGATAAATGGCTTAAAAGAAAAGGCTAAAGAATTTATTAATGATATTATAGAAGGTTTAGTTAAAGGCCATATGAATGAAAATGAAAGCATTTGTATGGAGTTTGAGACAATAGCAGAAAGAGCTCTAAAGGAACCTAAAAATGCCGCTGAATTGATAGAACAAGGGATTTACATTCTTCATGCAAAAACTGTATTGGTTGAAGGTTTAAAAGAGAGAATCATGAGACAAATAAGTATCATATCTCATCTTCTAGAGATGACCTCACTAACAGACGAACACGTTGCTTTAAACACGCGTACTGTAAATTGGCTTACTGACATAAAACCTATATTTGAAAGAAATGCAGCTGCATACGAAACTTTTAAGGCAGAAATGGAGGAAAATTTGCTGGCTAAAATTGCATTACTAAACAAAGAAGTTCTTGCAATAGTTCCTTATTTAGAACTTCTAGACAACATGGATGATATTAACCATACGCTTGAGTACTTAGAGTATTTACGTAAACTCGCACATCGTTTACATGATTGCGATAGATTGGTGACCTGGATTAATAACGAAGAAGCTACTTTCAAATTTCCTATTACTAATTACCCTGAATTAGAAGAACTAAAAGATTTTATAATTCCGTTCTATAATTTAGTGTATCTTGTTCATAAATGGCGGCGTAGTTTTTATACTTGGATGGACGGACCTTTTGAATATATGAACCACGAACAAATCGAACAGGATCATGATTTTTATTACAAAGAATTTTTAAAACTTTCGAAAACCTATCGAAATAAAATAAAACAGCAAATTGCGGAAGGTGTTGAGAAACGATTTCAAGGTTTAGTAGATGATCCTGATATGAACAATCTTCCTGCTCCCATGAAGCTTTGTGCACAAGCTATAGCCGAGATAAAAGACTGGCGACCTAATGTTCAAATGGCACACATTATGTGTAATCCTGCTTTAGAACAGAGACATTGGGACGATATGTCGCATATTGCAGGCTTTGACTTAACACCAAATGCTGGTACGACATTAAGAAAAATCATCAATTTTAATCTGTGGGATGATATTGATGAATACGAAATAATAAGTGTGGCAGCTACAAAAGAACTGGCTTTGGTAACTAATTTAAATAAAATGATGGCTGAATGGACTGACATATGTTTTAAAACTAGTCCGTACAAAGATACTGGAATATTTATACTCTCGGGTCTTGATGACATTCAAGGTGTATTAGATGATCATATAGTTAAAACTATTGCAATGAGAGGCTCAGCCTTTGTAAAACCTTTCGAAAGTCAAGTAAGAGCTTGGTATGATAAGATTATGAGAGTAAATGCCACCATCGATGAATGGGGTAAGGTTCAAAGTCAGTGGTTATATTTGTTGCCAATATTTTCCTCTAAAGACATTGTTGCTCAGATGCCTGAAGAGGGTGTTATGTTTGTAGAGGTCAATAATATTTATCGCCGATATATGGGTTCTGTAGATAAAGATCCTCATGCTTTAGACATTGCGGGAGGTATTGGAGTATTAGAATCATTTAAAACAGCATCTGGTTTGTTAGAAAAGATAAATGATGGTGTTAATAATTATCTGGAAAAAAAACGCTTATATTTTCCTCGCTTCTTCTTCTTATCAAATGATGAAATGTTAGAGATTCTTTCAGAAACAAAAAACCCATTAAAAGTTCAACCACATTTAAAAAAGTGTTTTGAGGGTATCAACAGACTTGTTTTTGACGAAGAATACAACATAAGTGCCATGATATCAATGGAAGGCGAACAGGTAGATTTTCTAGAAATTATAAGTGTTGCAGCTGCAAGAGGGTCAGTGGAAAAATGGCTTGTACAAGTAGAAGACCAAATGCTGAAAGCTGTAAAATCGGAAACTGAACTATCGTATTATGATTACCCAACAATGAACCGTGTTGACTGGATTTTGTCTTGGGAAGGTATGGTAGTTTTAGCTATATCCCAAATATATTGGGCCATGGATGTTCATGAATGTTTGAATACTCATAAACTAAGTGAATTAGAGGCATTTCATGTCAGTTTAACAAAACAACTTAATGATACAGTTGCTGTTATACGGCGTCCGGATTTAACAAAATTGAATAGCATCACTGTTAAGGCCCTCATAGTAATTGATGTACATGCTAAGGATGTTATTCAAGAACTTATTGAAAAAAAAGTGATTGAAGTTACAGATTTTCAATGGCTTGCACAACTGCGATATTATTGGGAAGAAGAAAAAGTTGCAGTCAAAATAATAAATGCTGTTGTTAAATATGCATACGAGTACTTAGGAAACTCAGACCGCTTAGTCATCACTCCTCTGACAGATCGTTGTTATCGTACGTTAATTGGAGCATACTACCTTCACCTTAATGGTGCTCCTGAAGGTCCTGCTGGTACAGGGAAAACAGAAACTACCAAAGACTTGGCAAAAGCATTGGCAGTACAGTGTGTAGTCTTTAACTGCTCTGACGGATTAGATTACAAAGCTATGGGTAAGTTTTTTAAAGGCTTAGCATCTTGTGGTGCCTGGGTTTGCTTTGATGAATTTAATCGCATAGAAGTGGAAGTTTTATCTGTTATAGCTCAACAAATTCTTTGTATCGTTCAAGCTGTTAGACAGCATTTAGAAACATTTGAATTTGAAGGCACAACTTTAACATTAAACCCTGCATGTTATGTTTGTATAACAATGAATCCGGGTTACGCTGGACGATCTGAACTACCAGATAATCTCAAAGTGCTTTTTCGAACAGTAGCAATGATGGTACCAGATTATGCCATGATAGGAGAAATATCGTTGTATTCTTTTGGGTTTATAGATGCTCGTAGTTTATCTGTAAAGATTGTTACGACTTATCGTCTTTGCTCTGAACAGTTATCTTCTCAAAATCACTATGATTATGGAATGCGAGCAGTTAAAACAGTATTGTCTGCTGCGGGTAATTTGAAAAGAAATTTTCCAAATGAAAGCGAACGCATTTTGCTTCTTAGATCTATAATTGATGTGAATTTACCTAAATTTCTTTCTTTTGATGTACCTTTATTTGAAGGGATTATATCCGACCTATTTCCTGGTGTTACATTACCTAAATCGGACTATGTAAATTTTTTGGATGCGTGCAAGGATACTTGTAAAATTAATAACCTGCAACCGATGGAATGTTTTTTGACAAAAGTAATTCAGACATACGAAATGATGATTGTCAGACATGGATTTATGCTTGTTGGTGATCCCTTTTCAGGAAAATCGATGACTCTGAGAATATTATCACAGGCCTTGAATCTAATGGAAGAAAGAAATCAGCACGGTGGATGCAGGTGTACATATAGAGTACTTAATCCAAAGGCTGTGACTATGGGTCAACTGTATGGTGCGTTTGACCCCATATCGTATGAATGGACAGATGGCATTGTAGCTACAATATTTCGTGATTTTGCATCTGAGGATACACCAGTAAGAAAATGGTTAGTTTTTGATGGACCTGTTGATGCCGTATGGATTGAAAATATGAATACTGTTTTAGATGACAATAAAAAACTTTGCTTAACTTCCGGAGAAGTAATAGCAATGTCTAACGTTATGTCAATGATTTTCGAAGTAATGGATCTTTCTCAAGCTTCTCCTGCCACAGTTTCAAGGTGTGGTATGATATATATGGAATCATCTTCATTTGGATTCATGCCATTTTATAAGTCATGGTTAAAAACCTTAAATCCTATTTGGATCGAAGAAAATGAAGAATATATTTTTTATATATGTGAATGGTTGTTTGAACCACTAGTTTCGTACGTAAGAAAATATTGTAATCAACTTGTCACAGCCGGAGAAGTAAATTTAGTTATAAGTACACTTCGCCTCGTAGAAATGCTTATGGATGATGCCATAGAAGGAGAAGAAGACTCAAAATTTACTCGAACATGGTTCTTAGCTTCTTTTATGTCTGCGCTTGTTTGGGGTGTAGGCGGAGTGTTGAATAGCAGTTCACGTGAAAAATTTGATGATTTGGTTAAAGAATACTTTAGGGGTGACAAAGGAATACCAACAAATATAGATAAAATTGATGTATCAGTTCCAACAGAGGGCTTATTAATTGACCATTATTACATGTATAAAGGAAAAGGATGTTGGAAATATTGGCCTGATACTGTAAAAACTGTTCAGGTTAAAGAACAGATTAATTTACTACAAACGGTTATACCAACCTTGGAAACTGAGAAATATATTTTCCTTTTACGATTACATACAAAATTTTCTCAACCTTTGTTACTAATAGGACCAACAGGAACCGGGAAAAGCTTTTATGTTCAAAATTTTTTAATGAACAAAGTTGATATGGAAAAGTATACACCAGGATTTATAACATTTACAACTACCACTTCTGCTAATCAAACTCAAGAATTAGTCATCTCAAAGCTAGTAAAAAGAAGAAAGAACAATTATGGTCCAACTAAAGGGAAAAAAGCAATTATATTTATCGATGATATGAATATGCCTGCTAAAGAAATATATGGTGCACAACCACCTATAGAATTGCTAAGACTATATTTCGATCAAAAACATTGGTATGATTTAAAGACTACAGATAAATTGTACATTCATGACACATTTTTCTATGGCGCTATAGGACCTGTAGGTGGCAGTCGTCAATTAATTTATCCGAGAATGCTTCGCCACTATAATATTTACTCTATTAATGAATTCTCGAAAGAAAGCATGACAAAAATTTTTACTTCCTTGTTACAACTGGGTTGGAGAAAAAATGGTTTTGGTCAAGACACTCAACCAGTAATAGTTAACATCATAGCTGCTACTATGGCTATATACGAACAAGCAGCTGAAGGACTAAGACCAACACCAGCAAAGTCGCAGTATATTTTTAATTTAAGAGATTTCTCAAGAGTAATTCAAGGCTGTGCATTACTAAGAAAGGAATCAGCTGAAAATAAAAAAACTTTTACCAGAATTTGGGTGCATGAAATTATGCGTGTCTTTTACGACAGACTCGTTGATGAAACAGATCGCACTTGGTTTTTTAATATTCTTAAGTATTCAACAAGAGATTTTATGAAAGATAATTTTGAATCTGCTTTGGACACATATCAAAATGACAAGGGGGATGTTACTCAAGAAACTATAAAAAATATGATGTTTGGTTGCTACTTAGACACCGACAGCCTTGAAGGTGAACGACGGTATGAAGAAATCCCATCTAAAGAATCAATTTTAAATATTGCTTCATTAATGTTAGCAGAATACAATGCTATGCATAAAGCGAAAATGACAATTGTTTTATTTGATTATGCTTTAGAACATCTATCAAAAATTTGCCGACTCCTTTCAATGCCGTCAGGCAACGCTTTATTAGTCGGCGTTGGAGGATCTGGCCGTCAGTCCTTAACCCGTTTAGCTGGTACAATTTTAGGCCAGTCAGTTTTTCAGCCAGAGATTACAAAATCATATAGTGTTAAAGATTGGCAAGATGATTTAAAATTAGTATTACGTGAATCCGGTGGTCTCAATAAAGATAGTACTTTCTTGTTTACAGAAAGTCAAATAAAAGAGGAAGTATTTATACAGAATTTAGACAGTCTACTTAATTCGGGTGAAGTTCCAAATTTGTACGGCTTAGATGAAAAACAAGAGATTCTTGAATTAGTACGTTTAGCAGCTCAAGGTGGAAACAGGAATCTGGATATAAGTCCCTTACAGATTTTAGCTTTTTTTATAGCACGATGTAAAATAAAGTTACATATTGTATTATGTTTTAGCCCCATTGGTAGCGCATTTAAGACAAGGTTAAGATTATACCCATCTTTAGTGAATTGTTGCACTATCGACTGGTATGATAGCTGGCCTGAAGATGCCCTGGAAATGGTTGCAAATTACTATATGGTTAAAGTAAATGTGCCAGATAAAATAAAAGCAACTGCTGTGGTAGCCTGTAAACAATTTCATGTCGATGCACGAACTATATCGGCCGATTTCTTTATTCAGTATGGAAGGAAGACATATGTGACATCGGCGTCCTATTTGAATTTAATAAAAACGTTTACAACACTTACTAATAGAAAACAACGTGAATTAAGAGCAGCAAAACTACGATATACTAATGGTTTAGACAAGTTGAGCCAGGCTGCAGATGCAGTTGCAATTATGCAGCATGATTTAAATGAACTTAAACCTCAACTAATGGTAATGGCTGCAAAATCAGCTAAAATGATGCAAGAAATAGAAGTAGAAACCGCCACGGCAGATAAGGCTGCTGCACAAGTGAGAGAAGATCAGAAAATTGCAAATGTGCAAGCGGCTGCTGCCGAAGAGCTTAAAAAAGATTGTGAAGCAGACTTAGCACTTGCACTTCCAATTTTAGAGGACGCTATTGCTGCCTTAAACACATTAAAACCCGCAGATATAACCATTGTCAAGTCTATGAAAAATCCTCCGGCAACTGTTAAGTTGGTGATGGCAGCAGTATGTGTCATGAAGGGTATACCTCCCGATAAAATACCTGATCCGGATAATCCAGGTAAAAAAGTTTTAGATTATTGGGGACCAAGTAAAAGAATATTAGGTGATATGGGATTTTTAGATTCTCTACGGAATTTCGATAAAGATAATATTCCTATTGTCACCATGCAAAAAATTAGAAAAGAGTATCTTTCGAATAAAGATTTTAAGCCGCATATCATAGCTAAAGCATCTACAGCAGCTGAAGGACTTTGTAAGTGGATAATTGCCATGGATATGTATGATGCTGTAGCAAAGGTTGTAGCTCCGAAAAAAGCGAAACTTGAAGCAGCTGAAAAAGAGTTTTCTGAAACTATGGCAATATTAGAAGAAAAAAAGGCTACTGTAGCGCGCTTAGAAGCTCGACTAGCAGAGTTAAATGAGGCATTGGAAGAAGCTAACATAAAAAAGAAGGCATTAGAGGATGAAGTACAATTATGTATTGACAAATTATTTAGAGCAGAAAAACTAATTGGAGGTTTAGGGGGCGAAAAAGTGCGATGGACTGCAGCTGCTGAAAACCTACAAAAGTTGTTCGACAACTTAGCTGGAGATATTTTAGTATCTTGTGGAATTATTGCTTATCTGGGACCATATACGTTACCAGTGAGATTAAATGCGATAAAAGAATGGAGACAGCTCGTAATTAATTTAGATATACCCCATTCTCCAACATTTGTATTTAAAGATGTGTTAGGAACTGATATAAAAATACAAAATTGGTGTATTGCAGGTTTACCGTGGGATTCTTTTTCTATAGATAATGGTGTACTTTTAGATAATTCAACACGATGGTCTTTATTAGTTGATCCACAAGGACAAGCGAATAAATGGATTAAGACGATGGAAAAGCCTAATGACTTACAAATTATGAAATTTACTGATGGAAATTATATGAAGGTAATTGAAACATGTCTGGAATATGGTAAACCAGCTCTAATAGAATGTGTCTTGGAAGATGTAGAGGCACCTTTAGATCCAATTTTAATGAAAAATACTTATACTCAAGGAGGGAAGGAATTTATTGCACTCGGTGAAAACGTAATTGAATATCATCCACAATTTAGGTTATATATGACCACAAAACTGAGAAATCCACATTACCTGCCTGAAATATTCAATAAGGTGACTGTGATAAATTTTGCTTTGACAAAAGATGGTTTAGAAGATCAACTGCTTGGAATCGTAGTTGCAAAAGAGCGTCCTGATTTGCAAGAGAAACGAGAAAAATTAATTGTTCAAGGTGCTGCAAATCGTGCTGCTCTTAAACAGGTCGAAGATGATATATTACGAACATTACAAGAATCAAAAGGTGATATTTTAGAAGATGAGTCGGCAATTGAAGTACTTGATTCATCAAAGTTAATAGCCGTTGACATCATGAAAAAGCAAGAAGCCAGCTTGGAAACGGAAGAAATCATAGAGAAATTCAGGTTAGGTTACAGACCAATAGCCTCACATTCAGCGGTTTTATACTATTGCGTTACTGAACTACCAAATGTCGACCCTATGTATCAGTACTCATTGACATGGTTTATTAATTTATATATATTATCTATTGAAAATGCTAATAAATCCAAAGACTTAGACAAAAGATTAAAATTTTTAAAAGATACTTTTACATATAATTTATACAGTAACGTTTGCAGATCACTCTTTGATAAAGATAAACTAATGTTTTCTTTTATAATGTGCTCTAAAATGTTGTTGTCTACTGGTGATATCAACCACGACGAGTATATTTTTCTTATAACAGGAGGAATTGCGGTTGAAAATCCTTTAAAAAAGCCTATAGAATGGTTACCAGATAAAGGATGGGACGAAATATGTCGAATAAATGATTTGTCTGTTTTCAAGGGTTTTAAAGACAGCTTTGTTGGTGCTACAAGTAAATGGAAGGAAATATACGATGAATTAGAGCCACATCATAAACCACTTCCGTTAGAGTGGGAAGAAAAACTGACAGCCTTTCAAAAACTATTAATTATAAGGATATTAAGGCCCGACAAGTTAACCATTGCTATTTCCGAATTTGTAGAAAAACAAATGGGCCGAAAATATATAACTCCGCCGCCGTTTGATATTGGGAAATCTTTTGGAGATTCTAACTGTTTAGCGCCTCTGATTTTTATTTTATCTTCGGGTTCAGATCCAATGGGAGCCTTAATAAAATATTGTGAAAAAATGGGTTATTCTCATAGGTTCAATTCCATTTCCCTAGGCCAAGGTCAAGGACCCATAGCAAAAGCTATGATAGAAAAAGCGCAGTTAGAAGGAGGATGGGTTTGTTTACAAAACTGTCATTTAGCTGTTTCGTGGCTACCAGTACTTGAAAAGATTGTAGAAAGTTTTGATCTTACTAACACAGACTTAAGTTTTAGACTATGGCTTACCAGCTATCCATCTGAAAAATTTCCACAGTCTATTTTACAAGTAGGAGTTAAAATGACAAATGAAGCTCCGACTGGTTTGCAACATAATTTGTACAGATCTTATATGTCCGAGCCATTGAAAGAATCAGAATTTTTTGAAGGTTGCCCAGAGAAAGATAAGCCTTTTAGTAAACTTTTGTATGGGATTAGCTTCTTTCATGCCGTAGTTCAAGAGAGAAAAAAATTCGGTCCTTTAGGCTGGAATATACAGTATGGTTTTAATGATTCTGATTTTCAAATATCAGTGATGCAACTGCAAATGTTTTTAAACCAGTATGAAGAAATACAATATGTAGCTATAAAATATTTAACTGGAGAATGCAATTACGGTGGTAGAGTTACTGATGATTGGGACCGGAGGTTAATAGTTACGATCTTAGATAATTACGTTAACAGCAGTGTAGTAAGTGACCCCAACTATTTGTTCTGCGATATAGGCCCCCAGTACGGATTACCACGACGGTGTGAATATCAAGACTACCTCAAACATATTGAGTCCGTGCCGATAAATCCTCCACCTGAAGTTTTTGGATTGCATATGAATGCGGGAATAACGAGAGATTATTCCACTTCGTTAGAACTTACAGCAACATTAGTTCTAGTAGAAGGTGGAGGTAGCGGTGCAGAGACTGGAAATACTGAAGGAATTCTTGTACAAATGGCATCAGAAATATTATCCAAGCTTCCGTCTAAGTTTGATATTGAAATCACTCAACAGAGATATCCCGTAGATTATAACGAATCAATGAACACCGTTCTCATCCAGGAGATGGAAAGGTTTAATAAATTACTAAACGAAGTAAAAAATTCTCTTTCAGATCTACAAAAAGCTGTAAAGGGTTTAATCGTTATGTCACCTGCATTAGATATGATGTCTAATGCGATGTTACTTGGTAGGATACCAGAAAATTGGTGTAAATTATCCTATCCAAGCTTGAAACCGCTTCCAAGTTACGTCGCAGATTTAGTTGAACGTTTAAAAATGTTGGAAACTTGGTATGAAAACGGGAAGCCTTCAACGTTTTGGCTATCAGGTTTCTTTTTCACTCAAGCATTTCTTACTGGTGCCATTCAAAATTATGCTAGGGCTAAGAAAATCCCAATAGATTTGTTAATTTATGACTTTGAAGTACGTACTGCAGATTATGAGACAACCTCTCCAGAATGGGGCGTTTACGTACAAGGTCTGTTTCTTGATGGCGGTCGATGGGATCGTAGTAAATTTGTTGTAGCAGAGCAACATCCTAAGATATTAAATGACAATATGCCAGCAGTATGGCTGTTTCCTAAGCTGAAATCTGAATTTCAAGAAGGTTCGCGGTATAAATGTCCCTTGTATAAGACATTAGAAAGAAAAGGCGTTTTAGCTACAACTGGACACTCTTCCAATTTTGTATTGGCTTTCTATTTACCGTCAGATAAACCTTCATCTCATTGGATTCAACGAAGCGTTGCCTTAATTTTACAATTAGACAATTAAATAATTAAAATCATAAAACTACCACGACAACATTAATAAACCTATAATCCATATTAATTTGTTAATAATTTGTTTGTTATAATCGTAAGTTTTGTACTTTCGTACTAAAAATAAGTGGGCTTGCAGCTTGCACCACAATTCTTCTACCTTTTAAGGTAGGTACTTTACTTTTAGACATACATCCGATGTATTGCTAAAAATTTTGAAAAATTACATAAAAGTACTAAAATATAATGATAAATATCAGCTCTACTAACACTTAGTAGAAAAATAAACACTTAGTAGAAAAATAAACACTTAGTAGAAAAATAAACACTTAGAACTTTTAAAATGATTTTGTAAACTTTAAAAACAATTTTTACATACAATTACAAAATAAAATAAAAATTATAAAATAGTTTTATCAAGTGCTTACTTATAATGCTAAGTATATGCTGTGCCACCCCGTAGTTTATTCAGCCAATTAGGCGCATAATTTAAAATGATTAGAAAATTAAACATAACAGCAGATCGAATTTAGCGCATTGTAGTTGTAATTCGTATTTCAGATGAAAATCAAAAGTATTGCCTTGTGAACAGGATAAAAAGTGGCTTTAATATGGTGTATATTATTGGTATTGGTGATCCATAATATTTCCATAATTATTTTTTGTTACTATACCTATTATTGTTAATCGGAAGTTTTACAACTTCCTATTAACAACAAATTATTATGTTCTTAAAATACCTTTAAACTGGAAACTTTCAATAAACTTGTGATACACATCACAAGCTTCTTTTTCGCATTCCTTTTTTTTTAAAGATTTTCTTCCTTTACTTATTCCCCGTCGAATCAAATGACTTCAAATTTAAACCATCAGGCTACAACAGAATAGACAAACGACATACACAAAAATGACGTGCATTCCTAGATCTCTGTGGTTGCTATTTTATGTAGCTTCCTGACTGAGCATAATGTACACAGTGTACAGTGTTGTAGTAAAAACCAGTTATATCCGATTAAAGAACTTAACCAACATTTCAGATGTCTTTGTATTTAAATAATTATTGAAAACTAACTCGTAGTTAAGATTATAGAATTACGTGCGTTTGTACCGGCACAGAATAAATAATAGGTATGTTAACATAGGTATCAATGATCTTCAAAGTTATCTATACAAATAAATAAAATTGAAGTGTCTATTTGTAATGTCAAAATAACAGCTTTTAACTAAATGCATATGAAAGGATATACGGTACTTATAACAAAAACACAATTTTTATAATTTTTGTCTGTCTGTCTGTCTGTTTGTTCCGGCTAATCTCCGAAACGGCTGGACCGATTTTGACAGGAGTTTCACTGGCAGATAGAGGGTATTATAAGGAGTAACTTAGGCTACTTTTATTATAGAACAGGAGTTGGAGTTCCGCGCAAAAAATTTAAAACCTATAAAATTCAAGTTTCGAATTCCACGCGGACGAAGTCGCGGGGAACAGCTAGTCTAACTATAAAGCACGAAAATCATATAATATCTTACATCACACTAATATGCCGGATGTTTAGTTTGATAACAATGAAGATCACTGCATTAATACCTATGTAAACATGATAATAGATAAAATCTAATATTATAATATTACCTAAGTAATTTCATGTTTGGGGAAATAACTTATGACTACTTTACGCTAAGTCACTGCAACAAATAGCTTTTATTTACATACTATCATGTGGAATACTATTCATGCAAATATTATTTGTTTCGCTTCTACCTTGTTTGTATTCGTAGAATCTCTAACTTCTGGGCGAATAATTTTCCATCATTATAGTAGAACAATGACTTGGTTATTCTTGCTTATTGACCTTATCGATCACGTTTAATCCATCCAGACTTACGTTGAAAAATCGATATAGCAACTAAGTGAAACACATGCATAGTACACATTCCCTTAGACCATTAACCAATTAGGTTAAATGATCTAAGCACATTGCTAACACTTCATGTTTGTTCCCATGATGTTCGTGAACATGTTACAAAACCGTTGGGCAACTAATCTATACATATAATAAAAATGTAAATAGCAGATGTCTGTACATTTTATATTTTTGTAATAAGATTGATTGAGAGGTACTAAAAATAAGTAATTAAATACATTTCTACCATTTTTAGATTTTTCTGTCTGTCTGTCTGTCTGTCTGTCTGTCTGTTTGTTTGTTAACGTATCACGTATAAAGTACTAATTTATATCATAAGAATAGTTAAGAAAATTATTAAGTGTATATTCAGGTTACATTTAGTCTTTATTTCATTAAAATTGATTAATTCCATCAAAAGTTATGACAAATATTCTGAAGTATGGGTACTAAGTATAGGTACGAATTTGTTCAATAGTGGCGTTGGATGAGTCATCAAGTACATTTTAAAATTAATATCATATTATAAATCATAATTAAATGATGTAAAATAATGTTCTATAATGATATAATTATATCTAAAACGCAGTAAACAAAAGTATTACATAAAAAACGTAATAAATATATACAAAATATATTAACCTTATTATCTAAACTAAAGTACAATAGTTAACCAATTTCATCGATAGATGGTGGTGTGGCATAAATGTGATACAAAAAGGCAGGTTAAAATTTATTCCTGTAGTTGAGTTTCATATTTGCTTCTAACCTTTATATTAATGACACGCTGCCCTACTGCGTGTTGACATTCTCATTTATTTTTTATTTTTTTACCGCCGAGTACTCTATGTGGTAAATCAAATTTTAAGAGCTATTAACAATTTCGTTTTTCGGCGAGGATCAAACTTTCTTTTTTGCTTACTATGCAGGCACTGATTTATAAGTTCTTTTATGTTTTTTATTGTATCAATCGTTTGAATTAATCTCTTATTTTTAGAATTGATGTTAACAGCGCCATCTCTCTTAAATCTATACATATAATAAAAATGGTAATAACATGTTGTCTGTTTCTGAATATTGTACAGTATATTAATTTGCGACTAAAATCATTATGGGGACTGTAAATCATTAAATAAGTACATTTTTATAACTTTTAGAATTGTACTATCTGACGGTCTGTCTGTTTGTTTATGGACGCATGACGTTTTGAGTAAATATCTTTTTTTTTTTCAATGAAATCCTTAAGAAAATCATAAAGCGTATTATCAAGTTCATTTAATCTTTGTTTTATTGAAATTGATTAATTCTATCGAAAGTTATGATTATTATTTTGAAATGTAGGTTCGAATTTGTTTAATGGCGCCACAAAATCCCAGAAATAGTAATAAAAAGATTCGTGTGTAAAAAAAACGTTCTATTATAATATATTTCGTATCGTTCTATTATAGTACTTAAAACACAGTAAAAATATGTTTTCCTTAAATTAAAAAAGGATGTTTTCTCACAAAGAACGTAATAGATGGCGTTGTACAAATTACAACCTTTTCTGAATTGCGGTGTTAAGATTTTTCGCAGGTGAATCGTATTGAGACTCACTGTAATAATTTACGTCCATGAGCCTGACGAAGCTACAAGCCTGTAAGGTATATATACAGAGGTATTGAAATAATTAATTTAATTATTCAACAAAATTACAAAACTCGACTAAAAGTAGCAAAATTGCAATTAATGTCGTGATAGTGATATTGTTTTATACCCAGAATCCCTCTAATACCAAATAACTTTTTTTTCAGTTTTAAGTAAAGTTGCAGCCTATTTACGTCCCACTGCTGGGCACAGGCCTCCTCTCATTTCTGCATTGAGATATATGAGAGGGTTTTAGGGCAAGGAAATGTCCACCGCGCTGCCCCAATACGTGTTGGCGAACTTCACATGTCATCGAAATATTTTTTTTTATTTCTCAAACATGCAGGTTTCCTCACGATGTTTTCCTTCACCGCCGAGCACGTGGTAAATCAGCACTTAAAATTGCAATTAACAATTTCATTGGTGCCGGCGGGGATCGAACCCGGGTTGCTCGAGTACTGTGAAGCTTACAGCGAGCGCTAACCATCTGAGCTACCACGGCTCAGGCTTCAGTTTTAAGATAGGGATAATAACATCGATGTTGGCATCGCTAGCTCAACATCGATGTTCGATGTTTAGGCTACTCAAAACATCGATGTTGACCATTATCGATGGTTTTTGTATATGTGTAGATACTTACACATTGTTTTAAAATTATGTGGGTATACACAGCAAGGGAAAAGTAACAATTAACTTGAATATCAATTTATGTAGAATAGTTATTATGCGACAACCGACAACGACACTACAAAATAAAGCGAAAGCAGTGACCATTGTGACATTACAGGAGACACTTGACAATTAAGTTTGACTCACCATACTGACATGTTTTTAGATTAACGATGTTCAGAGCAGATGCAAGATTTAGTTGATATTGATTTCGCGAGTTCTCATTGTTTGCAAGTTCCCAATTATCGATTATGGGTTCATTGACGTCGATGTTTCGATGTTTGACATATGTCAACATCGATGTTAAAACATCGAAGTTTTAATTTTTAACATTGATGATCATCTAACATCCCTATTTTAAGTGTGTTTCCCACTCAGCGTGTGTTATGCGACGATCGTAAATAAAGCGCAAGGTCAAACTTTACGCGTCAGTACTGATTGTTTTGCACATGGCCAGCTCTATATTGCTTTTTCTCGCATTAGTAGTCCCCGTAACCTTTTTCTGTACGCCCCGGCTAAGTCTACTTCTATCGTCGTTTACACAGAAGCTCTATCATAAACGACTTAGAACTTTGAGAATATCGATTTATTTTGTTACCACTTATTCATAGAGTAATGATATAAATCGGTTAATATTCTCTTACCCTAAACGTCAAATTCTTTTAGTAAAACCTATATTCGCGAGCTACGCCGCGGGCACAGCTAGTAAGTAATATTTTATGTGTAGGTGTCATGTGTAAATTTATTTTAAAACAATTTATAACTAGTTTTTATTTAATAATTATGAATGTTTAATTTATTTTTAATGACAACA